TATCTCCATGTGAAAATAGTCCTTGGAGCCATGCTATCTATCTGAGCTAACTCCCTGTCCGCTTATCTTCCTTAGGCTTTTAGCCAACAAAATTTTTAATTTTGCCTCCAGAGGTTTTCCAGAGCTCTCCCTAATCTTTTCAGCTTGTAAACGTAATCCACTTCTAAAATCTTCTCTCAGTGAACAAATTTGATGAATGGCAGATTGTCATTATGCTGGAAAACAGGAAACAAGCTCAAGAGCTTCTCCTTTAGGGAGATAAAGTCCTTCCTACCTCTCCACTTACCCCAGCTGGCCTTCTATTTCTGAAAACAAAACAGCCTTTCTGCTTTGAGTGGAGCCCTCTCATAAATGGAGCTAGATATACATACATATACACAAGTTCTCTGTAAAAATTAGAACTTTTCAGTAACTGCCAATTTTGACAGAAGTTGACTTGAGAAAAAATAGAAAGGAAGCTGTTTGGTAATGTAAAAAGCATCTTGTTTCAGCATTTCTGATTTTTTTTTAAATTTCTGAATTACTTCTTGAAAACTTTATATGAGAAGGCCAAAGTCTGAACCAAGCATTTTTCTTAAAAATCAAAATTTTGAATTGATATGAAATCCAACTTTTATAAAAATATGTCAAAATAAAGCTCAAAATGCATTTTCAAGTTACAGAGTTCCCTTTGGAAAAGAAATGTCAGGGTTCTGAATGATATTTAAATCACTATCTATCATTTTTCATCCAACATTCATGGTGGAATCTTGAAACATACAGTGCTAACAACATAATCTACTCATTTTCTTCACCCAAGATAGAGATTACTGTTGAAAATGAAGGTTGCAGAAAAAGTTATCCATAAAAGCAGCATTTTCAAAAAGACACAGATATATTCTTCTAACTGTCAGAAACTGTTCTAATTCATGTTAGCTAAAGGAGCGAAGTAAGAACATGTGTTGCATGCTGAAGAGTATGACTCTAAATGAAAAGGTAGCAAAACGTACATCTTGATCTCTTCTAGTAGAAGACCTCTTTTCCTCTGTAGGGTATTTACTTCAGCTTTGCAATGCACTCTGATATCATGCTATAAGACCTAATTATAACAGAGGGACTCTTTCAAAGACTGAATGGCACAAAAAAATAGAAAGTATTTTAAATACAGTTCAGAAAAGAGCTGTTATTTCAAATTCTTTTTCAAATTTATGGCTCACTCCTCATGATTTCTGGAAATCTGTGTTAGTGGGACTCAGTTCTGACACTCAGTTACACCATCCCAGATACGGAGTGATGTTCTTTCTAATTCAATTTTCCGTTTTTGACTCTACATTCTTGCATGCACATACATGCATACATACACATACTCACACACAGGCACGCATACAAAGACACTACTTGCACAGATTTAGTCATCTTCTCTCAGGTTATCTTCACAATCATGCTTCTGTATTTTTTTACCCTTACATTAGGACTCTCTATCCACCATGGATGTGTTGTCAAAATGCTTAAGCTTCCTGACACAAATGTACATCTAAGCAAACAAAAAAAAGAAAAAAAACCCAAACCAACCACAAAAAAAAACCCCACAAAACCAAACAAGTCCCCTATCCCCAATGTTTCAGCACTCATAAAGATTGGCAAATTCAATGCTTTCAGCATTGAATTTGCTGTTTCTTGATTATTATATACAGACATAGGAAAAGTCTTTGAGACACAAACAAGTCAATCTCAATGCTGTGTGAAAGATGTATTGAGAATTCATCTAAATAAAACCCCCAAAATAACCTCAAAACAAAACAAAAAAAAAAAGAAGAGAAAATTAGACATTCCTCTTGAGAACTCTGAGATTCAGTTCACATTTTGAGATGGGATAGGCTTGCTAGGTGAGCTTGAAGTTCACTTTGTTTTGTGATGTTTTCACTCTTTAAGCAGCTATTGTACTCACTGCCACATTTTCTCTGTCATCTTTCACACCAGTTTGCTTGTGTGGTATATTAGATCATGGTTTGCTGCCAGAGGCCAACCGTACTGTTCTCTCACTCTCCCTCCTCAACAGGACAGGTGAAGAAAATAAGAAGGAAAAGCTTACGAACTGAAATAAAGACAGGGGGATCACTTACCAATTACCATCAGGGGCAAAACAGTCTCAACTTGGGAAAATTAATTTAATTTATTTCCCATTAAAATTAGATTTGGACAGTGAGAAACAAACAGAGAAAGTAAAACACCTTCTCCCCACCCACAATTCTTTCCAGGTTCCTCTTCATTCCTGTTCATGTTAGCATCTGTGGAAGTGCCTCAGAAAAATCCTAGTTTCTAACATAGCATCTCGATTTCTATGTTAAAATATGCCAACTTCTGCTGACTAATATGGGATAAAGGCTGCTTGTGAGGCAATCTAGACTGTAAATAAACAAATTTTAAAAAATGCACCCAGATTCTGTGGGTACTATTCAGGTGGGGGTGAGGAATTGGCATAGTTGTCCTTAATTTAAAAGATCCAAACTGTTTTTGTATTATTACCAATTATTTCATTATTCGTTACTGAGCTCCTTTGTTTCACTGCCTTTTCAGACCCCAAAAGCTAACATAAGTTTATTTTCTCATAAAAAGAAAAAGCTGCACAAACATTGCCTATTTTCTGTGAGGATCCTATCTTATAATACAGCAGACTGTTGGCAGAGAAGAGAGTGAACTGCGTGATGACGACAAATTTTCTGAGTGTATACTTGTTAACTGTTTTTCATGATTGTACTATTAGTTTACTAGAAAGCAGTAGCTGTTATAACACTATTTTTTTCACCATTCTACAAAGTCTGACAAATAAAACATCAATAATTTATAAACTATAATAAGATCTCATTTTATATAAGATCCACTTGAATTATCTGGTAGTAATCTCCAAAATTTCTGTACCATTACAGTTTCTATGCTCTCCTCAGGAATCATACTGCACTTGAACCTCAAGAAACAAAGATATACATTCTGATGTATATTTTCTTTTAAATCAAACCAATATGTCAGGGAAAGAAACTTAATGTGCGTTCAGAGTTTTTACAACCACACTCAAAACACCTGTGTCAGCCCAAAGACAGTGCCTATATCAGGAGGCCACAGCAATAAGTTTTCCTGATGAAAATATTTTGAGGGGGTTTTTTTGGGGTGGAAGGAGGGGATGGACATATCAATTTCCCTTGATTCTTAACTTTTAGATGATACAGTGGCACATAGTGTAAGCGTCATTCTACCGATGACTTCTACTTTTTTTATAGGATATGAAGTGATATTGACTCCCCTTTCCCTATTAGCTTTGAAGAGACATGGGATTTAGTTTATTAGCTTTTTTGAAAACAGGTAGGACTCATAGAACATTACATTAGTCAAGAAACAGTGTTAATTCTTTTGTCCATATAAGCAGTTCTTCCAGACACTGCTATTGATAGGTTGTTCTTAAAGATTCATTTCTTTGGGATTTTCTTCATGTCTCAGCTTGGCACACAGATGACCTTCAATTGTTTAACCTGGCAAAAAGTAATCTAGATCGCTGATGGCAAAAATCCTCTTCGGATTTTGATTTATTGTGACAAAGCATTTCTACAACTTTGTTCTGCTGGTTTGTTGCAGAGAAAGTAATCATCGCCTTTTGCCATGCTGTTCAGATAACCTGAAATATTTGGAATCATTACTATTATGTGGGTAAAACTATTATGTGTAAAGTGGTATTATGCACTGTGAGAAAATAGATGCATCAAACAGGACCTAATAATAATGTGAGCTTTCATAAATCTATTTTGATTATTCTGGGTTTCTACTTTCCCCAATGCCTTTTGCACATGGAAGAGTGACAGGAGAGATTATTCGCTTTAGTTCCATTAGTCACAGGCAGATAAGTGTCTTCTAAATTTACAGTCAAGACATACTTGCCTGCAAGTTATCTGGTTGAATGTCAATCTAGAGGAATGTAAGTGAAGAAAAAAAAAAATAGGAAATTATATCACTTAAGTGGACAGTGCTGACTAGACCTTTGTCTTATAAGGAAAGTATAACATAAAAAGTAAAACATAAAAATTACCCAGCCAAAAATAGGGTAAAGAGCTTCTCAGTTGGCCTTCTGCCCTTGGCAAGGAGTTTGAAGAACGTTTACCCTTCTAGCTATTGGGCTGCCTGTGTTTATCCATACAGGCTCTAGATTGTGGCAGCAAAAAGTATCCTGACATCTTTAAAATTGCTTAGAAAGAAAAGCTGAGGAACAGTTTTATTCTTTCATATATTTTTATAAGGAAGTCTTTACAGAGGCTTTTATTTGTTTCTAATCTATATACTAAATGTATTGGCTCACAATGCTGTTAATCCCATATAGGCTATATTCTCCCCATTGTGATCACAGGACACGGGTGAGCCATTTTCATACAAAATAATTGAATGTTGAGAAAATGTAATTGTAGTTTAATGGCAATTATTTGCCAATAGGGGAATAACTTTGATCAAAAGAGAAAAATAAAATAAAACAAATTCCAGAATTTCTTATTGTAAAACCAAGCTATTTTTTTTAATAATCTTAAAAATTAGTTAGGATGAGACAAAATATTTTCTTCAGTCTGACTTCAGATATTTGAAGATGGTCATCTAAGCAAAAAATTAGTATGGGGAAATTTGCTTTAGCTTAATTTACTAGTAAGCCAAAGTTAAGAATCGTAATGATACTTTCCACACAGCAGTTACCTATCTTAAAGTGAACAGTTTCAAAACTGTTTGATCACCAAAACACCCAATGATATGTTTGGTTTCAGACAAGTCAGTCCCTCCTGTGTACTTGAAGCTTGAGTCTTAAGTGATAATGATGTAGTCACAAGGAAGATATTTTATTTTATTGTCTGCTTGGGTAGGATAACAGTGGATTTATCCACCAGATGCTGTTCAGTTTTTTACAGAATTCAGTGCTGAAACAACGATATGTGGTTGACAAAAAGTAGGTACCATCATAAAATCTGCTGCTTCCTTTTTTTGTACCCATTTAGGAACATCTGTTTTTCAAGTGACAGCCACAGATGCTGATGATGCCAACTATGGAAACAGTGCCAAAGTAGTGTACAGCATTCTCCAGGGACAGCCATATTTTTCAGTGGATCCAGAAACAGGTTAGCAATTTTCAGTCTTTTTGCAATGACAGAGGTGTGATGCAAGGATCAAGACACTTTTCATTTGCATTTAAATATTGGAACAGGTCTATGGTATATGGCTTGCCACAAAGTTGAAACATATTTTCTAAATGAAAACTGAAATCACAATTAAAGTGTCAAAATAATATTATTGCAGAAGAAAAACCATTTTACTTAACATGGTAGCATCTGGAAGATGACTGGTAAGTGTAAAAAGTCAACAGGTCAGAAAGGATGTAGGATATTTTAAAGAATACAAAGAATCATGAAAGTATTTAAGATTAATCTACACCAATTTCTGAGAATTCCATCTGTTTCTCCTTAAGAAAACAAAAAGGGAGCTGGATAATTTCAGAATGTAAGGCTAAAAAAAATAAATTCCCAAAGGCTATTCAATCCTAAAAGTTTGTAATAGATTCTTGACCACTAAAAATTTTTAATTCAAGATGCTTTTTGAAACTGTATTCTGATCCCAACTACTATTAGAAATGAAGCAAGAAACATTAATGTTTTTAAATTGCAAGGCATGCCTGGAAGCCCTTTTCGTTGTACAGGAAATCAGATAAAAAGACACAAAGAAAAAAACCTTGTATGAATTTTGCGTATTTATAATCCAAAATTTGGTCTCAAAAAAAGAAATCATGACCACCACTCTTCCCCACTCCAGGTACCTAATCTTAAGGCACATAAAACTTAACAGACATTGCATTAGGTTTTTCTTGGATTTTATCAAAATTCTTCAACCTTGCAAAGCCACCACACCTCTAAATAAAAAAAGTTCTTCTGGGCTCTGGATCCTGGGAGGATTTAGGTAATTTCTCTGTTCAGGGTATGGGATTTTTAGTTTTCTTACCTGAGGATCCTACTCTATTTGTGTGTTGTACAACAGTCTGATACATTTAAAATACATTTATGAAACTCTTGAGATCAGCCACTCAAAAAAGATTTTGCAACACTAATTTTACAATCTTATCCAATTTTTTATTATCTATAGCCCTAGATGATTTACAGTGCCCATCACTGGGCATTAAAATATATGATCTATTGCAGTCCAAAAGAATTAATCTAGTTCATAAAAGAGTTCAGCCTGTGCTATAATATCAAAACCTCACCAGGACTGGAAATTACATAATGCATTAAAATAATAACTGGGCATGCTAGCTAAAAGCTTAATTAATTCAACAAATATATTTATATTTTTGTCATTAAAAGAATAACTAGATTGATTTAGCACATCACAAACAATGAATAATGTCTCTGTTACATTTAATTTCCTTTTTTTTTTTAAATCACATTCTATCAGCCATAGACTGAAAGGCTTATTTCAGTATACCTTGTGTTGATGGCTGTGCATATGTTGATGGTTGTGCTTTTATTTACATCCATTTAAACCCACTGAAATTAAAGTGGGTGGTGCTTGCCTCAATTTCACCTGTCTCTCTTTTTTCTCTCTTCTCCAAGGCGTAATCAAGACTGCTTTGCCAGATATGAGCAGAGAAAACAGGGAACAGTATCAAGTGGTCATCCAGGCCAAAGATATGGGAGGCCAGATGGGAGGACTATCTGGGACCACAACTGTGAACATCACGTTGACTGATGTCAATGACAATCCGCCTCGTTTCCCTCAGAGTATGGAGCATCTAATAGTTCTGTTGCTTTCCAAGAACCCCTCTAAAATCAGCTGCTTCACTGTCACCATCTGGGATCTTTTTTCTCCCCTTTTTAAAAGTATAAATAGATTCATAGAATGGTTTGGAAGGGAACTTAAAGATCATCTAATTCCAACCCCCCTACTATGGGCAGAGACATCTTCTACGAGAACAGGTTGATCAAAGCGCCATCCAACCTGGCCTTAAACACTTCCAGGGATGGGGCATCCACTGCTTCTCTAGGAACCTGTTCCAGTGTCTCATAACTCTCATATTAAAGAATTTCTTCCTAATGTCTAATCTAAATCTTCCCTCTTTCAATTTGAAACCATTCTCCTTTGTCCTATCACTACATTTTTGTGGCCCTCTCCTGGACTTGCTTGGGCAGATTCATGTCCCTCTTGTGTTGGGGTCTTCAAGGCTGAACATAATACTGCAGGTGGTAGTATTATGGTACTCACAAGGGAGTAGTAGAGAGGGAGAATCACCTCCCTCGACCTGCTGGCCATGCTCCTCTTAATGCAACCCAGGATACAGTTGGCTTTCTGGGATACAATCACACACTGCCAGCTCATGTTGAGCTTCCCGTCAACCAACACCTTATCCTCAGGGCTGCTCTCAATTCAGTCTCTGCTCAGCCTGTATTTGTCCTTGGAAGACAGGACTTTGCACTTGGCCTTGTTGAACTTCATGAGGTTGGCATTGGACCACCTCTCGAGCCTGTCAAGGTCCCTCTGGATGTCATCCCTTCTCTCCAGGGTGTCAACTGCATCACACAGCTTGCACTAAATCCCACTGTCCACATTGCTGACAAAGATATGAGTGATGCTGACCCACTGCTATGTCTGCTTATGTGGCAGCATTATTAAGGCAAATGAGAACTCTCCACTTTTCTCATAGCAAAATATTTCTTAGAATGATAAACTTACTTCCCTTTCTTACTGTGCTTACAGGAATGTGAACTGTAACAATAACTTAGGCTAACTTCAGGGACTTGAAAGCCTTTAGAACAATTTAATTACAAAATGTAGAGTTCCATTTTTTGAGATAATTTTAGTTCAACATTTTTAGGCAAGCAAATAGGTCAGCAAATTTTCTAAGGTACCACCTTGCAGAGTTGATCACGTGTTGTTATCTGCTGGAAGTCTAAGCATTTGGTTTAGCTACTTGTAATCTGGATTCAGCTCTTGATGCTGGATGATTTTGGTAATCTAGACCAGTTTGACACAATTAAGTTTTTTAAAAACATCTCTGTATAATAAAAAATGGCAATCAGAAAGCTGCACAATACAGAAAGTGTCTCAGTAACGTGCTACATACTTTCATCCTAGGCCAGTCATTTAAATCCAATCCCAATTTATTTTAATTAGTGTCTTATAAGCTTTTGATAGGCTGCAGATAGAAGACATTTACAACCTCACTGCAGTGTCTGCTGGAAAAATGTCTACATTATAAAATTTGAGTTGCTTGTGAACACTTATTAAGGACCTGACTGGCTCTCTTTAGTGAACAAACAGCTGATTTAGAAAACTCCCTGGGCTTGAAGGAACTTGAAAAACACTTCAGTACCACAGCAATAAGTATACTCAGAATAGTAGATAAAGGTCAAACTAGAAGAGATTTTTAAAAATATGAGAAAACTCTGACAGTGTGGAAGAAAGGATTTTAGAAATCGCATATAACTTTTTTAGCTCTGTTTATGACAACAGATTGCTTTTTAAAAACAGAAGTGTAGGGGAAGTACTGCAGTCCTCATAAAATATAACTTGAATTCACACTCAGAGTTTACTTGCTGAGAATCACCTTTATATGGCAAATTCAAATAACAATTTTTACCTGGCTTCCTGTTTGACTTCAGGAGGGGATACTGCTTAAACATCTATAACATGATATAGCCATAATATTTTGGCAAATACAAATTCTTGAACCCAAATTAAAATGCAGTGTGGCACATTGCATTATGAGCTTTGTTGTTGAATTAAATTTTCAACACTTCCTAGGAAATCAAACATAAAGAAACATCTAAAGATTTTGATTTCTTTTTAGATTAGTTATGAAGAGGGTCATACCTTCAAAGAGCTATCTAGTTTTGGAAGTTTGTTCCTTCCAAAAATAATTATATTCCATTTTCTCTTATGTGAGGCAACAATAGGTGAAAATGTGGCCTAAAGCTGAGGGTGAATTGCAAACGCAAGCAACAGGATTTAATGTCAATGTACAAAAGAACTCAATATTGATTTCTTGGAGGGACAGAAGAAAGCAAAATGATAGTGGACTGTGAACTACTGGTAGTTCCAACTGCATTAAGAAGAAACAAATTTTCTGTTTTGCTTTGTTTCTTGAAAGGAATCTTGGATAGTTAAAAGTTGATAGCCTGAACTGAATTTAAATGGCAACATAATAAAAATCTCACACATTTTTAATTCAATTGTAATCTAAGACAGATTAACTATCTCTCCTGCCAAAACTGTGTATCATGCACACTGCATCACAAAGATGAGGAATGCTTTCTGATGTAAAAACACTAAAGATAGTTATTTATCCTGGAATAAATCATAAGAATCATGATTGAATCTGTTCTTACAGTATTTCTACCTCACTAGCTGAACCCTTGAATTTGAGAAAGCCTTCAAACTTATGATTTAGCTCCCAGGAATACTTACTTTCATCTCATTTTCAGCCTGGTTTAAAGGAATAATATGCATTTTAGTCTGTGTGGATTGCAGCCAAACAGTCTACTGTTTTCACTTACAACCTTGTAACAGCAAATGCAATTTAGCATCAAGCATTAGCTTCCATTTTGTTACACATCTATTTAAATATAAGGCATTTACAGTGACACTCTTTTGCAGTTAGTCTGTACAATTGGAGGTGGAAACTCCTTCTGACTTAAAGGTTTGGTATAGTCCTTGAACTTAAAAGGAACCTTCAGGACCCTATACGTGTCTTAAAATAAAGCAAAGGACATGTAAATATAGGAAATAGGCTAGTTGCAAGAAAAACACTTGACTGTACTTCACTACAGGCCAAAAAATGCATATAGCTTCTTAGTAGACCCTTCAAAGGAAGACTGTGAATTTTAACACATGCTGCTTTTCAGACTCTTATGTTTTTTTCAATGCTACTAGTTCACTCAGTAAATTAATATTAATTTACTTAAGTAAACAGATGAAAGAAACATCAGATTCCGGAATGTCCCATGTAAAAATGCTGAATATATCAGTTGGGTTTTTTTTACATTTTTCTTGGTAGCAAATAACTGAAAGCATTGATTTAGAAACATTTGTGTCTTGCTAGTGTTGAAAGCTCTTCACTGACTAGTTCTGGCTGGTCAAGAAAACTATTTGGTTAATAATTTTTCTTCAACAACATGTCTTTATATTTAGATTTTTATTGCATATGTTGTCAGAAAATACATATACATTCACTTTTTATTTTTTTGTCTGTAATCAGATTTCTTTCTAGCAAACCCTGGTTATAAAAACGTTAAATGAAATCAACCATTGAAAGAGCACAAAAAGTACATACAGGGCAAATTAAAGAAAACCTGAGTGAATCTCCATTGCAATTAACTATGGTGTTTAACATGAACATGTATCCACATACTCTTTATCCTGACTCTTTAGTATGTATTAACAATAATGGATGAATGAATTACTTTCACACAGAACACCCTGTTATGTTGCCTGGAGATAGCAAACAAAAAAATCTCTTACTATTTCTAAATATATATAGAAACACTTCTAGAAAACATATATACATATATAGTGAAGTAATCAAGGTTAGAACTGGTGCACCCCAACAACAACAACAACAAACCATTAAAAGCACAGTAGTAAAAGGCTTTGAAGAATCGCTTAAAATTTTTGTGACAGTTTGTCAATCAACTTCAAATCCTGTTTTAAAGTTTAGTATGATGACTAACAATATTTATTTTTTAAGTTTCAAACTTCAAGTTACTTAAAAAAAATCCAGGTGAAACAGAAAATATTTTTTCTTCAAACGACTAAGCTTCTCAGTACAATAAATACTTGATTTTGCTCTTCTAGGTACCTATCAGTTCAGCTCTCCTGAGTCTGCACCACCTGGGACTCTTCTTGGCAGAATTAAAGCCAATGACCCTGATGTGGGTGAAAATGCAGAGACTGAGTATAGCATCTCCAATGGGGATGGATCAGACATGTTTGATATCGTCACTGACAAGGACACACAGGAAGGGATCATAACTGTCAAAAAGGTTCATTTTTTTCTCCCTCTCTTTTATATGAACTTAGCTCTCCAGATGTTGCAGTTATTTTCCTTTTTCCAGGGGAAGGAAGGGTAGATCTCACAAGGGGTCAGGCTGACAAGGAGTTATTGTATTAGTTTTGTGCCTCTCTTTCTTCAGTATCTGTTATTTTCATGTCTCGAGGGAAATTTACTGGCATGTCACTTCACGCACAGCAATATTTCAGTTGCTACTGTCTGTTCAGTATATATACTCTCATACACAGTACTTTCAAATTAGGGCTGTGAAAACCTGGAGGAGTTCAGTGCACACTGGGGTTTGCCAGCTGAATGCTGCTGTAAGGCTCACAAAGCCCGGAGGTTCAGATGAAGTTTGATGAACTTACATCTTCAAGGCTGAACTGTCCCTTTATAATCTGTCCAACAGTCAGGTATCTCCAGTACCTAAATTCTGTCTTGGTTTAAGTCCAAACTTGGTGAAACATAGTGTTACGTATTATGGCAATGGAAGTCCACAGAGTAAAGACACAGGCAGAAATTTAATTCAAAATACCATCTCTGACACATTTATTGGTTTCTTTTTAATGTTTAGACTGTTAAGCTTTGAACACTATTTTTGGTTCTATTCTTACTGAAAGTATCAGTAACAATTGATACATATACATATCTAATATAGATTTATACACATATATTTGGAAACATGCATATATCTGTGTATGTTCATTTGTATGTGTGTGCATATGAATTTATACATCAATATGCATATATGGATCTGCATAACATAAACGTCACACAAATAGATAGGAAATCAGAATTCATATTTTTCTCTTCACTCTGGAACATGGAGGCCAAGGACAGGTCTGGGTTGTTTTTGATGCAAAATAGGCAAGGATAGATGGTAATGGGGGAGGAGTAAGGAAAAGGGAAACAGAACACAGAGCATTTAAGAGCTGGGATAATTGTTCTTGTTATTAGCAATGGCATGAGACAAGTAAGACCTTTAGCAACTCCCACTGTGTACTGAGTCCAAAGTTCCTGTTTCTTTCTATTTTCCTGTGGGTTGGTTTTCTATGGGTTCTCCTGGTTTTCAAGGAATCTGAGCAAGTAGTAGACAGAGGGATCATAATTGCCTTGTTGCTCTATAATTCTCTGTATTTTTTTCATAGCTAGAATACGTCCTAATATACTCCATCTTCACCAAATACATCAAATTTTAGAGGTTTTGCTTCTCATTCATCATTAAAAAAATAAAATTTCTTGTAAAGTGATTCAGTTTTCCTTATTATTATTATTTGCTCCTCAGCATCTGGATTTTGAAAGTAAGATGTTATACACTTTAAGAGTGGAAGCCACCAACACACATCCTGATCCTCGTTTTCTTCAGATGGGGCCATTCAAGGACACAGCTTTGCTCAAAATTTCTGTGGAAGACATAGATGAACCTCCAGTGTTCAGCAGACCCTGGTATTTAATAGAAGTAGATGAAGATGCTAAGGAAGGAAGCATTATTGGACAAGTTGTAGCCCAAGATCCGGATATAACAAAGAATGCTATAAAGTAAGCCATTACATAACATAAAATGTTTTAGATGTGGCTCAAGTGTCAGGCACAAAGAGTAATGAGAACACAATGTAACAGGGGGCCACTCAAGCGATTAAGCATATAAGGGCTACTAAAAAGTGTCACACTGAGAAATACCTATGGGAACTTGTGAAGTCAAACACAGTTAACAGTGCAGGGTATGCTTCTGAAGGCCAGCCAATAGTCACTAGGTGAAAAGAAAGGAGAGGTTAGCATTTAATTCGCATCCTGTTCTTGTACTTCCACCAAAATTTTTATAAGATTATGGTTTTATACCATGTTTCCAGTGGCAAAAGTATGTAAAATATTCAAAATGGTGGTGTATTTCTACACTCCCTGCTGGTTGATGGCAGTCAGCCTTCTGCACCTTCATAATGCCCTAGACATAATATTGTCTACCATGTTCCACAGTTTAACTATTTAATTATCACATTATATTAAATAAGAAATGCTTGCAATAAAGTCATAACAATTACAGGTAAGAGTTCAGTGCTTTGAAATTGCTGTAATTGTTAGCCACCTGCCATTATTATCTGCAATGACAAACACAGAACTGAAATTTATGTATTTACCATGAAACTGATTATGAAACCTGATTACTGCACTTCTGAACAAGCCTGTTCTGTCCTGCAGCAGTACAGTTTTAGGTAGGAGGTATGAGAGGAAGAAGAAAAAAGATTTTAAAATAATTTATGTATAAAAACTCAACCTGATACTGTCTGGTAACTAGTAGACTAATTAAAACACACCTGTAAAACAAGTTATTCTTTGCTAAGAAAAAACAAAGCAAAAAGCAAGTGTCATAAAATAAGATTTTTAAGAATTTTGGTCTTAAACAACAACTAATCCAAACATTTTTTTGGTAATTTTGATGGTCCTTGTGACATCTTGAAAATATCTTATGATAAATTGATGCTTAATTGTATTTGTAATACGTATCCTTTCATGACTGCCTTCTCCCAGAAACAATTAATTAGCAAATATATTACCCAAGAATGTTAATTTTTAGTTGTTATTCCAGTATTAACTTTATCAGCTAAAATGCAATTTCAAATATGAATCTAACAAACTGCCAATATAAATAGTTTGCTTTTCATTCCACTCACTAGTCTTAAAAAATTGTTTCTCAGTATTTGTAAACTCCTCAGGCAGCTATAAGAAACCTGAGGTTAATTCTAAATGACTGCAGTTCTTAACCACAGTTAAAATTCAAAAACTTTTACAAGTGGCTTTGAACTAAACTAGAAACTATAGCAGGAGATAGTGATGCTCAGTTGTACGGTATCTTGACAGATACTCTGTGGATCGACACACTGACCTTGACAGAGTATTCAACATCTATTCAGGAAATGGATCCTTATTCATCTCAAAGCCACTTGACCGGGAAGAAACTCCCTGGCACAACATCACTGTCATAGCAACTGAAATCAGTAAGTTGGAGATCATTTATCTTGGTAGAACTGAGGAAAGTCAAATTTTACAATATCTATGATATATCCTGTTTCATTAGTTCTGCTCTTATTAAGATATTATCAATAGACAGAGTGTCTTTAAACGTACACCTAAAAGTTCAATTTACTCCTTCAGGACTATCTTTGCCCATTTACGAAAAGACAGTTAGGAGTTCTTGGGTTCAACAAAACCATGTACAGTGTATATTAGTATATAACTGGTTCCCTGAGAATTGCCATCAAATAATTTGGTTCAAAGTGATGATGGTTCCAAAGACTTTATCCTAAGGTAAGTCTTTGGAAAAATCCTTGGGGAAAATTATGCCCATAACAGACATATAGCACATTTTCAGAATTAGCACTTTTTTTTTTTTTTTTCTTTTTGTCTGGGTTATTTTTACATCTTTGTTAGAAAGGACAAATTTGGTTTGCTGGTTTTGAGGTCTTTTGTGTGTTGTTGTTGACTGACACTCTTTAACTGCTTTACTGACTTGAACAAGTTAATGTTCTTGACAGCTTTCTATCAGGAAACAGCTTTTGCAATGAATAATTTACTGATGTATGGAATACAAGTCAATAATAACTCAGTGACCTGTTTTTAGTATAAATCAATTTATAAACTTGATATTATTTCAGAATATTTATACTAAAATAGAATAATTTGTTTCAAATATAAATAGTACTTTTATGCATATGGAATGTATGTCAGCAGAACATGAAATATAATTGGTTTAGTATAATTAAAATAAAACTTTTATAATGTCTATTGGAAAAAAATATATTGGGTAATTTCAGGTCTTTTCATAGACATAGACTGTAAAGCTTTCTATTGTAATATAAATATTTTTTTTGTTTCAGATAATCCTAAGCAAAGCAGCCAGGTATCTGTCTTCATCCAGATTTTAGACATAAATGATCATGCACCAGAATTTTCCAAATACTACGAAACATTTGTTTGTGAAAATGCAAAAGCAGGACAGGTAAACAAATACTTATGTTACTGAAGAACTTGTAATGAAACTATCCTCGAATGCCACCATGAAGATTTCAACATATCTTAGTTCAAACAACTGCAAACCAACCCAGCCTCTTTATTCCCTACCTTCTACACAAGCTACCTATTTAATCAAAAAAGTAGGAGATAAAAGGTGCACTATTTTACCCTAGTATAATAACATAGCATATAATTCAATATTGTACTTTAACAGTTTTTTCATTCCTAATATAAAAAATTTTTTTCAGAACTATTTATGCATAATGCTACAAAACCCCTTATACTGTTTGATAATTATATTTATTTCTGGATTTTTTTTCAAAACCTTAGTTAATGTAACCACACCTTCAAGTACACAAAGCACACCTTCAAGTACACAAAGCAGGAATATCTTTTATTATGCTTCAGTAAAGTTATGAAAAATAAACTTTTACATTTTACAAAAATGAAAAATAATGTAACTCTTTCCATTGTAAGCTTAACTTCAGTTTTGAATTAGGTTGAATTTGGTCAAAGTTCATGTATATCTCTTTCTATCTATCTCAGCATAATCTAAAAAGACAATAACAAGTATTGTAGAGAAATTAAAGTGATAATTTTGAACCGAGAAAGGAGGCAGATCAACAGAACAAAGAGTCAGGATATTACATAAATCCTTTAATATTACTGCCATTACAACAAACACCTATTTATGCTAAAGCTAGTCAGCCTTTCAGTTTTAAATCCTTTAAAGAAGGATGTAAGTTTTGCTTTTAATTCTGTATTTACCAAAGAACTGGATATAATAGCAGATTGGGTACCTTGAGGTTGTCTTTCAAGAATTTCAGGTCTTGCAGAACTCTAGATGGAGTAAGAAAATGACATTTTCCAGTTGCAATTCAAATGATGTTTTACGAGTGGTTTAACTTTAAAAAAAAAAAAAAAAGAAAAAAAAAGAAAAGAGAGAGAGACCAAAAAAGGGTGAAAAAGAGGATACAGTGGATTGTTGGGGTTGCATTCAATTCTACTTATTTTTTGTTCATTGCACCTAATACTGGAATTTAGGTAAGTAGGTTAGAAAGACAGAGGGTACTTTGAGTGAAATCACTTGGCTTTGGAGAAGTACTTGATCATTCTTTTAATGGCTTTTTTATAGTACACTCTTACCAGTTTTTCTGCAAATAACATAAATAGAGTCAGGAGAGAGAGGATATGGATGTCAAAGGCAGTGATGAATTAAAGCAGTAGGAAGAATTATCTGAAAAATTAACAAAGAACATTTTTCAAAATAACTAGGATTTATGGTGTCTTAACCAGAGACATAAATTGTCACATAAGAATACAGTTCAAGCCTTATAGAATGAGAATGATTTTCCTAAATTCCCATTTATTGTACCCTCATAGTTTTGTTTTATGATTTATAAGATGTTTTTCCAGGTGGAATGCATTCAGATAATTCTAGCCATTAATTTCAAACAGCTGATATATCAACTAAATTCTGCCTATAAAAAAAAAAAAACCTCTTTGTACAAAATGAAATTCAGAGAAATAGATCTTAAAATTTCATTATAATAACCGATAAAAAGGTGAGCCATGTACTTTAATTACAGAACAGAAAGAAAGCTTCCAAATTTTACAAATGAAAATTTCATTGAAATTAATCATATGCAATTTTAGCAGCCAGCAAACACAGGTTTTGTCATATATTTAAACCAAGTTTAATCCAAGCATACTGCTTGTCAATTTCCTTAACCCAGTTTCCACCTAGTCTAGCATACTCAATGAAACATCTATTAATGTATAAGATTTCATTTACTTTTCTGGTAAATTCTGTGCTTTCCTAACAACAAAGGTGACAGAGGCCCATTAGGTAGGCATATTGATGTTCAGAACTCCTTTATATCTAGCATACTAATGTAATCTTTGGAATTATTTTCTTTAATTGAAAAAAAAATCATAAAAATACTACAAAGAGAGTGTGCACAATGTGTAGCTGAAGAATGAGACATCCAGACTGTTCTATCTCTTAACAATTGTATACCTTAAGACAGGCATCTGAGTTCAATCTGGAAGTTTAGATATAGTTGACTTAGTATTTCAGAAAATAAATTACCTTTTCTATGTAAGACTACTTTTATTTTGGTGTCTAAAAATAGCAATGAATATAGGCATACAAACTTGATTATTTTGGCCAAGGATGCTAAGTTCCAGACTGCCCATACCATTCATATTTAGCAGTCCCCCTAGAATACAATAAAGATATAGGATCATGCCGTGTCCATTTAGTACTACTCCTCCTTATTTTAACAATCACCTAAAGCAGCTGTCTTATTAAAATCATTATTGTTTCTTCACACATCATAGCAGTGCTTCTTCCTCTGGTGCCCACAGCAGGAAAAACAGACTGAAAAGAGAAATGCATTTAACTAATTTTTCAAATTTCTTTTATTTAAATCAGGCCCAGCTATTAATCACACCACCCTCTAATCTCAGGTGCACCAGTAATCAATCAAAATGATCAAATATTGCTCTCTGCCATAAAGTGGCATTACTCATTCTCAACATCAGCTGATAGTAGAGGCTGCATTTGTTGTTTTTGAGGTAGCCTTAGGAGGGTCAGAGGAAGAAAACATTCTCGGTTCTCTCCTCTTCCCTGCTACTCTTTTGTCTCCAAAAAGCACATGTTATGACTGGGGAGAAACATTGTCACTAGAGGTTCATAAATAACTGCATTCATTAGGCTGGAACAGATTTGTCACCATGCAAGTCATGGCTAATACACAGGCTAAAGAGAAGGATGCCGCAGCCTTCCTGTCAAACAGTTTAGAAATCCCTAATCCTTTGATGACATGCTAGAACCCCAGGGACTGTTGTGGGGAAGGCTCTGATATAAGTTCTCTCATGCTCTTGTCAGGGAATTAATTGGGTCTTTTTTGCTGGATTAGATGAGTCTTCTCCATGGAAACCGGGAAGATTTACTTGAAAAGGAGACTGATTTAACTGAACAAGTTGTTAGCAACAATTTAACTAATTTCAACACCCGTCAGTAATAATATTTAAGAAAATAACTTGTGTCACTTCTTTTGCTCTGACATTATATTTTCCTGCCATAGAGGGGCTCTCAGACATCAGAATAGGGAAAGAGTTTGCTTTCTCCTCAGAAAGCTGGCAGACTTTTCTTATTAGTCTTCATACCCCCTCTTTTTTTTCTCAGATGGAGCAGGAAAAGATCACATTTTTCACATGGCCTTTGCTAATTATCAGTTATGAGTTGTTGCTCCATTGTAGCTGCCTTCTCTAGGTAGACACCTATTGGCTTCATTTAGTGAGAGACCCATGGTAGCATCTGTCTTTTGAAGCAAGAACTGGAGTTCAAGGGAGAATTTTCCAACTTCTGGTTAAGCATTCAGTTCTGCTTTAACACTGCCAACATATTTGTGGAACAGAGCCAAGACTTGAAAACCAAACTGTTTTGCATTACCAAACATGAAGCTTTATTAAGTGGCAGACATTTTAGAACATTTGTTAAGACATGAAGCATCAAGATCAAAGGTTTATTCAAGCTTACACACGTGTGATGGAGACTACTTTCTGCAGTTAGCATTATACAGTTGTATATGCTAAAACGGTGCCTTAACATGCGTGATTACTCAAGCCACAAAATTACAATATGAGCATCCACTGACAGCTGGATTGATTTTGAAACACTTCTATGAAGGGACACTTGAACTATATTATTATTTTACTCATAAGTAGTGCAGCCACTTCAAATTCTGCAAAAATCTTTATCCCACCCACTTGCACTGTGCTGTGTTATTAATACATTCAAGATTAGTGAGAGATTTGCCCTAACAGATCATACAGGCAGGAAAAGAGTTAAGAGCAAGAAAGGTTAGGATAAATGCAAATTTGCTTCTTAACCATTCCCTCAAAGCTTTTCCACACTTCTGATGCCTGGCAAAAACACGGTCTCTCTCACAATATGTTTTTTTCACAGTTTATTGCAGACAAAGCAGTGAGGTCTTTTCAGATTCCTTGAGATACATTTGCAAAGCAAGTTCAATAAATTTCAAAAATGACAAAGCCAGTGCCGTGAGATCCAGGATTTGTTCTGCCCTCTCTTATACCACTTCTGAAAAAAGTGTCAGACAAAACCAAACAGCAAAATATTCCAAATATTCTTCTCTCCAGTGCCTAGTGATACTTTTTAAGTTTTATCTCAGAAGCAGCTGAAAGTAGATAAAGGACATTTGAGAATTTCTCTGTTGTACAATATCTAGGTTTAACTACGAGCGTAATATAACAAGAACAAAAGCCCAACTGATTCAAGTGGATTGAAGGTCTACTCCTCTACATATCTATAATCAAACAACAAAATTCAGCAGCTTAACAACATATGTCTCCAGTGGTCTTACTTTCCTGAGACTGGAAATCTGATTTTCATGCTATATGACAATTACATTCTTTTAAAACTTCAGAAAAGCATTGTCTACAAAAACAGACCATCTTTAAATTCCCATGAAAGTGACAGTATTTCTCATTGTCTTATTTATAGTGAATTTAAAAAGAAGGAATTTTGAAACAAAAAGTTTTAAAGTATGACAGCAACCACTGATATGCTGCTGTTTTAAAAAGAAGCAGCAGCAGATGACATTACATACATTGTATTTGTCTCAAATCTTGTTTTATTAGTAGAAATTTTCAATCAGCAAATACATCTGTCCACCCATAGACCTCATCTTGTTCAGCTTTCTCCAATGGCCCTTTCAAGAATATGTCTGAAGCATGTTGCTGCATTTTTTAATTGTGAACCCTGCAACCAATGTCCAACTGTACTTTATTTATATGACATGCCAAGCTAGCACAGCCTGAGAAGTCCATCTTAGAAGTGGCTAGCTGATGCTGACCGCTATACTGTTAAAAGATGCATTACTAGCTTAATGTTTACTTCAGTGTTTCCTGTATTCCTTTTAGAGGCAGTCCCAAGACTGAACCCAACCCAAGTTTCCTGCTTGTGCAATTCTCTGTGTCCACAAATGCAGCCTCAAAAACAGTAAGGGCATGCTCTGAAGTGCACAGGGACCCTTGTTATTTCAGAATGCCCCCACCTAACTTTTATTCCCTTTCTATCTTTAAAACAGCTTAAAGAATACTGGAGAGCAGGCTTCATCTAGGGATGTACCAGATATGCGTAAGGAATCTGTTACTGGACAATTTGGTCAACCACAATAATTTTTTCAAAGATGAGTATAAATACCTAAAACATAGTCTGAACATAAGCTACAATCACAATTTTGTCTATGGTGTAAGTCATGGCCTTAAAAATACACTACACAGGAGAAAAACCAACCAACCAACCAAAAGCTAGAAAACAAACACCACCCGCACACGCCCAACCCAGTATATAATTAAATTATTTCCGTATTTGACAAAATTATGCCAATGGAAAATAGGTCCAACCCCCTTAACAGAATCTCTGGCTTGATCATGAATGAAATTCTTCAAGAAATTTTTCCAGTGGGAGTAATTCTTCATTTGCAACTCATCTTACATTGTAGAGCTGTTACAACTAGTTTGTCCTGAGTGCAAAAGAGAAAACTCTATGTAAATACCTAAGTTTAAATCTTCAGTACCCTCAAAAACAAATGACCCCTAAAAACTTGAACTTTCTTAGGAAGATCTACTCAGCTAAGAGACTGTTACTGCACATGTGAAGTGCATAACCCTCAAAATAATGACAATAATATTACATTTCCCAAATTGTGCTCATTTACATGGGAAATTATGGAAGAAAGAAAAAAAAAGGGATTTGTTTTTTAATCTTCTCTAAGCCTGATATGATTTAAACATATTTGAGTAAAGACAATTTCTTGAAATAACTCTTCCCTTATAAAGTTTACAGTGTCAGAGATATTTCTCCAAACTCCTGGTGAAAAGGAATTATAACTCAATGTCCCTAACTGATTCAAGAGGGAAAAATATATTTCCAACATGAAAGTACAAAATGTACATTAAACAGTACTATTTTTTTTTTCATATAACTGTAATACTTAAGTATAACCACATCTCTTTCATTTCTGCAGTGATTGTCCTTAACATCATTCTTTTTTATTTACAGCCATATAAGTGGAAAAGAAAATCCCTAATTAAATAATATCTTTAATTTCATTTTTCTTATTCATCGTTTGGAAAAATTCACCTGCAATCATTTTCTTATTGCACTTCTATTCTCCCATCTTTCCTTGGGGAAGAACAGCTGGTTCTCGATTTATGAAGCCAATAGTTAGAACAGCTAATAAGTTTGAGGGTTCTGTTTGGTTGGTTGTTTCTTTCCTCCTTCTTCAGTAAATTTTCAATGTAATTAGATTTTGTTCATGCCTCCTATAATTTTCCTCCATGTGAGTAGCACATAAAGGGAATCAAATACAGATCCTGCAAACATCTCACTGATTACATCTTAAAAAGCCTTAAGATACACAACTGCTATTTCTGGTAGCTATGATATCAAGATGTTTTCTCCTTGAGTTTTTCAGCAAGTAATTGTTCAAACATTGTCACTCATTTTATGTCTCGGATACTTTAACAATATTTCTGTTTTTTCAAATGTGTAAAAATGTGAGAGAAAAATTTTCTCATTTCAATGTACTATTTTAGTCCTATCAGATTTTTCTTTTTTTTGGGTAGCAATATTAAATTTTTGCATTAAACAATGAAAAACCAAAATCAAGCACTATCCTGGTCTTGCTGTCTGTGTTGCTGCTCTCTGTATTGCTACTCTCAGAGGCAGATTGCAACAAAGACAAGTGCAATGGGACATTGGAAAAATGTCATATATACTGAAAAGTCTACTTTGCCATAAACAGTGATTTGGCTAATCTTGGAAAACAAATAAAAAATTAAAATATGTAAAATAAATCTAAAGAGCAACGATCATCAAATGCTTGGAAAAAGAGACCTTCATATGTAGATATTATTCTAACCATATTTAGAAAAACTGCATAATCCTGCCTTCAGTATAGTCACATCTTCTAGTACATGGCAGATATTCACAAGTTACCCTTCTGGTCCTTAATATGCCTCAATTTTTTTTTTAATAACAACTTGATATTATTAGCTTTAATAAGAGTGTTCTAAAATTAATTAGAAAAAAGGAGGGCCAAATATTCATTTTGCAGTACAGGATTAGCAACAGCAGTGTTCTGAATGAAACAGCAAGAAAAAAATCTTTCATATTTTTGGTAGCCCTGTAACTATGTTTCTCTAATACAGAATTTCATCCTGAGAGATGCTGGACACTCCTCAAAATTTAACTGTATCTTCAAGTCCCACTCAAGCTGATGCTCAGAGAAAGTACATAAGGAAAAGCCATTCTTGATTGCTACAGAGCTTAAAATTTGTATTACTTGTCAATTACTGTGTTTCTTGAAGAAGCCATGCTGCACTTCCCCTGGAAATATCAGAAAAACAAGGCTTGAAGTCTTTGATAACAAGTAGCTTTGATGTCTGTGGGATTTCAAGTCACCCTACATACAGGAAACACTCAAAAACTCAAGACAGGCACTGACTTTCACGTGTCTTTGAAAGAAATAAATGTGCTGACATCTTTTTGCCTTAAAATGTGGGTGTCATAGGGAACTCAGCTGTACTGAGTTGCAGCATCCTCAGCTGAAGCTTATTCCCATTCTTATGCCACCAACCTTTGTCATATTGTGATTGAATGCAAACACGCCCTTGTAAGTCAAGGTGGAGTGTGGTCATTGTTCAGTGCAATACTCACTAAGGAGTGCAAAGGACATAGCAGTCATTTTTATGTCTCACTGGAGTTACTACATGCAACCTGGTATGGTGTTATCTGCTGCAAGTCATTTCACAAATCACAGATATTCCCAGATATTTCCCTTCTCAGTTCTGCAGCTGTTTTTCATAGCCTCACGAAGTCAAATTGCTAGCATGCATGTGTGTCTACATATACATGAGTACATATCTACACGTTTTGATGCAACAGGAAAGCCTGTGTAATCTAGAAGTACTGCTAAAGCCTTTTTTTTTTAGTCCACTCTACTCTGACCTTATGATGGTATCATTATCACTCGTTCCCAGCTGAGTGGCCTTGTTAGGGCAGCTATAACGCTCCACAGCCAGAGGTTTCAATTTAGGAGGGAGTAAAGAATCTCTTTTTATTACCTCAGGAGAACCAAGCATCTTGCCAGTGCAGTACTCTAATTTATTGCAAAGAGCAGATGAGGTAGACTGGGAATTAGACAGATTTAACAACTGGTTTATACACTGCTCTCTGTCATTGCTACATGAAGCCACAGGAGGTTTATGGCTTATTCACAAGGGCAATTGTTTCTCTATCACTGCAATATACTGAGTAAAAATCAAAGTACAGCACTGTCTTGCAGTGAAACTGGTCCCTTTTTCATTCTCCTTTATGTGTTTAAACAATAAACCACCAATTTGCTTCCTGTAATCTCTGCTGTGTTTATGGGGGGTAAATTTGTCTTAAGATATCAGTTTGTGTCTTCAGACAGATTCACTGAATTTTTACTGGACATGAAAAGCAGAGATCTTATTTCAAATGCTAGATTTCTAAAATAGCATGAAATATTGTTTTCCTTATAGTTAATACAAACTGTGAGTGCAGTTGACAAAGATGAGCCCCCTCGAGGACATAGATTTTTCTTTGAGTTGGTGCCAGAATTTGCTGTTCATCCAAACTTCTCCATTGTAGACAACAAAGGTAACTGCTCACCAGTACCATCCTCCTCCTTGTCCCAGCCCTAATACTACATCGTCTAGCAACATTTACTGATTTCCGACTTTTTGTTCTAGATAACACAGCAGGAATTATGACTAGAAAAAATGGATACAGCCGTAGTAAGATGAGTACCTATCTCCTGCCAATCATAATATTTGACAACGACTACCCAATCCAGAGCAGCACTGGCACGCTGACAATTCGAGTGTGTGCCTGTGACAGCGGGGGGAACATGCAGTCCTGCAATGCTGAGGCCTTGCTCTTCCCTGCTGGACTCAGCACAGGGGCACTGGTTGCCATTCTCCTCTGCATCATTATCCTGCTAGGTAAGTTTTGTGACAAGATGTTTAATTGACTAAGCAAAGTTCTGGTCAGTCCTAGACCCCTAATATACTTTAACTTCTTGCTCACACAACCCTGCAGAACAATATTTTTTTCAACTGCTTCCTAAGCAGTTTGGACTGTTTGTTATCATTACTATTCAGAAGAATGTGCAAAAATAATGAGAATATTAATGTCATTTAAATAAAATAAATTTGAAAATCTAGGGTCAGTTTTAGATTATTCTTATTTGAGTAATGTTTTACATTATAAACAGAACTTAATTTAGACACAGGACTTTAAAATCAAATTCCTGTAGCTGAGTGACAAGTTTTTCAGTGATTAAAAAAATATCAATTATGCTACCTATTTAATCATTAATTATTTGTACTTTTTATACTCAGGAAATATATCAAAAGTATAGAAGAGAAATCTTCAATTGCTTGCAAGTGGTAGAGAGAGTAGCTGATTAAATAAAGTGTAAGCACAGAAGTTAGATGTATGTTTGGAGACATACGGTGATATATGAAGAAACTAGAATAAATACTAGCTCATAACCAGTGTAAGAACATAAAACCTGCAACTTCCATGTTTTGCTTACAAGAGAAGTGCCTCCTTAAAAGTTCCATCATCTCTACGTTTCAGTCAAAACCTGTGGAAAACCTCCTTCCCTTTCCACCTATCCTAGCAAAAACAGATTGCGACAGGAGCAGTGACAAAGATTGCAGGTGTCACTTCATATAATTCTAAGATGATCACATTTTTTCAGCTTTTAGACTGGACTCAAACTGCCTCTGGTAAATATTCAGAAGACCACAGAGGGTGGTAGGAGGAAGTCAATGTGTAGTAACTATGCCTGTACTGCTGAGCACAGGGAAGCATGGCTACTTATCTCTGACAAACTGATTAAACATACTGGACATTGCCCAGGAATAGTCTGAGCAGCAGAACCTGAAAGATACCATTTCTAGCAGGCAATTATGTTTCAGACACTGCCAGATCTGACTCTACACCTTACATAGTTCTTAACACCATGTCAGCAGGCTCCTAGTCTTCACAGCCATCTTTCATGTCTCAACATAGACCATGAAATGTGTACCATGAAACACACAGCCTTACTCACTCACTAGGAAGACATCACTCTGATGGGCTGCAGTGCTTCAGCACAGAAACATTGAACTGAAAACAAAAATCAAATTGTGCCTTAGGACCACAATAGCACATGAGACTGAGGACAGGCTCAGGGACCTGTGCTATGCTCTGTGCAAAACAAGTGTGACCACTTCGTGTCTCTTTGAACAGACCCCACTGTACTTAGTCCTTACAGTCCTATCTGTACTCTAGTACAGATACAGCTGAAGCCAGAGTAGCATAAGAGTGAAGAGCATCTAAACAAAATTGTTAGTCTACTGCTGTTGTGATTCTTGGCACCTCATTTAGTTGTTCAACAAGATGTAGGGTGTTAGAGCAGTAGACTAGTGTCAACATGCCTGAAGTACGAGAGACAAAGAAGTATCTGGCTGTGAAAAACACTTCTTAATCTTTCCGTGATCTAGCCTACTGTTGTATATGAAGCAACATACGTAAGTGGACTATTATTTGTCTAGCATCAAGAAAACATGAAAAGAATGGCTCCTGTACAGATACAAAACCTGCAAGTAAAACAGATGAGCTTTTACGTTCACAGGATTGTGCCATGGCATGTGGAAGATCTGAAATGTCCCCTCCCTACCAGCAGCATGTCCACTCTTCCTTTTTATTTGACAGTACTCATATCAATCAAAATAAAACCTTTGCCTCCTAAGACCCAACGAAAGTGCTCAGCACTGCTATGTCTGATTTGCAGATGATCTTTTTGCCCTCCCTGATTTACTCCAGCTGCTGAGGCTACAGACAGATTTTTCAACGTATTCAAACATTGAATTCCTACTGAAAGCAACAGCATTTAGGCACCAGCATGTGTTTACAAACCTAAACTTCAGTATTTCATCTCCCTCCGTAGAAGTTCACTTCTGTGTCAATCCTTACCTCTCCAGAAGTAAGAGTTATTCAACTAACATTTCTTAAAATAGGGGGGTGATGTTTTAAAAAAGAAATATTTAATATCAAAAGCTGGATTTCAATTCTTGCAGTCATTGAAGCCAAAAATAATTTTGTCAATAGTATTGATAGCTGAAGGTCTTCAGGTTCTGATACGTCAGAAGGACAAGTAGATCCTGTTTTCAAAAGTGACTTGGCACTTAGGAATACCTAAATTACTAGCTTTCAAGAATATGAATTACTTTTGACAAGGAGATTCAACTACACTTGTTGAAATCACCCCTAGTGACTGCCAGGAAGGTGGTAATTCACAAAACTAATATCAATGTCAAACCCTAGTAGGATGATATATTTTAAGACATCATCTGCTTTTCAACTTCATCTTAAGCATACATTTATTTCAAATAAAAATTTTAACAATTGCTCCCATAGTTTTAAATAACATAAGGTTTTGACTGCTATAAAATCATTAATGTTTTTTCCATATCAACTTCAACTTGGAGATAGCTTTTATATCACTATTTTTCCCAGTAAAAATCCCATTCCAGACTTAAAACTTTCCCATTTCAACAGTTATTGCAAAATATTTTGCTTAATTTTTTAATTTCGAACTTCTAATTTCTTCAGTCATCTTTTGTTTCCTTTCAGTATTAGTTGTCTTGTTTACGGCCCTCAAGAGACAGAGGAAGAAAGAACCCTTGATCGTTTCAAAGGACGATGTTCGGGACAACATTGTTACCTACAATGATGAAGGAGGTGGGGAAGAAGACACCCAGGCTTTTGACATTGGCACACTGAGAAATCCAGAAGCAAGGGAAGAAAGTAAGATGAGAAGAGATGTTATCCCAGAAACTATATTTCAGATAAGACGGACTGCACCTCTTTGGGAAAACATTGATGTCCAAGACTTTATTCACAGAAGACTAAAGGAAAATGATTTAGACCCAGCTGCCCCTCCTTATGATTCACTAGCAACATATGCCTATGAAGGAAATGATTCCATAGCAAATTCACTCAGCTCCCTGGAATCACTTACTACAGAAGGCAACCAAGACTATGATTACCTCAGCGACTGGGGCCCTCGATTTAAAAAACTAGCAGATATGTATGGTGGAGAAGACAGTGATAGAGACTGAAAAAGTAATCTGTGACCTGGTTGGTGTTAGTGGAATTCATGTCTATGTTACTAGATAAAGTGACCTACTCTCACTTGGGAATAAAAATTTACAAAAAAATAGATGTTGTCTTAGTAAGAGTTTGCTTAATCAGTAAGTCAACGTGAAAGAATATGAATGATTTAGACTTTAAAAAATCTATAGTTCATCCTCTTTGCCTAGGAACCTCTGATGAAAGGTTTTTATTGACAATGAAAAACAATAAAAGGCTTTTTGTGCCTTTAATTATGAGATGGAAAATTGATTTTTTTCTTTTTAATTGCTTTGCATTACCTTTCAAACTACCTGGGACATTGTGCGCCTGCATTGCAACATATTCTCAAAAACATACTTTAAAAAATATTAATATTCCTGCCATATTTATTGAGTTAAAGAATGTCTGTGTGTTGATTCATCATGATATTTTTATATATGTATATTTATATTTTTGTATTTTTATTAAATAAATTAGTATTTATAAAAACAATATACACATAATTTATTAATAATAAGACACTGTCCAATCTTTCTGAACAAATGAATCTTCATATTGTGAAATAATTTTTTTAATGCATCTTCTTATATTGGATTAACGGTTGAAATGTACTGTGCAAGAACAATATGGAGAGAGTGCTCTTTAATGGGAATGCAGTGTAGAAAAAAGAAAAGTTATTTTCAAAAAAAGTGATTATAAATAAATGACTCGCAATGTGTATTACTACATGGCATAATAATATAGTTTCATAGCAAAACTTGCTCCCACACACCTTCTTATATGAAGTAACCAGAGAGAGGATTTAACAGATATATGCCTGGGGATTTAAGGAACCATGAAAGTTTGTTTATTCTTGTAGATATGAAAACTATTCTGTAATATTTTTAATGGAATAATTAAGCAAACATCAATAATGAAAAGAAGTCTTTTGTATGCTAATTTATTTTGGGGTTTGAGGCAATTAGACAAATCAGACATGTTCTTAATAGGGTTTTTTGAAGTCAGAGTGAGCCAAGCAGTAAAACAAAGTCCAACTAATATTTTGCTAAAGATGTCAATGCTCTCTTTCTTCAACAAAGTGCATACATTTGCATATTTTCTAAAGCCTTAATGACAATCTTCAAGTATATATATGTGTTTAAAATCCATTTTCTGGATCAGTTTTTATGCAATGCACATTTTTTTTTCAAAGCACAGGATACGAGGAATTTACATAAATCACGTGTCTAACTTTAAAAGTTGCAATGTTTTCTATACATGCATTTTAAAAAAAGAACAAAACCAAACAAACCTCAAATGTATGAAAAAGAATTCAAATTGCTAATTATACAGGATGCACATTATCAATAGCATTTTCATTTTTAATATCAACATTAGTGAAAGCCAAGTGCATATAGATTTCGAAAACAATAATGTTTTAAGATTTTCACTAGATTACTTAGTTATTTTTCAGATCTTTTCAGAAAGAAAATTAAGATGCAGATTAGCAATATAATGTGGACCACTGAGACACACATCTCTTACCAAAAATTTAATAAAGAGATCACACAAGGTCACTTCACCCAGACATAAAAGCACATGCCTGCCTAATGTTTTCCTTTCTACAATATTGACTTTCATATTATTTGTCTAAAATATCTCTTTATTATTATCTATTTCATCACTCTACCGTATTCTTCTATCTTCCCCAATGATGCATCTCAAGTTTCCTGCCACTGAACTACTTTTTGGGGGGAGGCAGGTATGTGTCTGTGAGGGGATTGAGATTGCAAATAAACACCTGACACCACCCACTGTGAGCTGTGTATGGGGTATGCAAACCTACATGGCAAGCAAAACACTTTAGTGACACAAAAAATTCAAAATAACCCGCAGCCACGTGGCAGCCATGTACATGGATCGGATGTAGTAACAAGATATTGGTGTACAGCTCAGTGGTTTAAGAATGCATATTTCTGTTTTATGTCTTTTGAAGGTCTGAAGAGAAATGACCAGATCAAAAAAACACTTATGACTGGTAAGGGCCAAGATAAACTTTCTAACTCCTGAGGAAATACTGTGGGATTTAGTCATCATTCCAAACAGACTTAAATTGATTTTGAATGTGCTCTCCACATGGTTAAGAGCAAATAAGCTGAAAAAGTAGCGAAAAGGAGCAAAAATGAAACATTCTAAGTAAATTTTCCAAGAAAAAAAAAACACCAAAAAAATGTAAATTCATTCCATCTCAAAGGCAGGGGAAAAAAAAAAAAGAAAAAAACCAGAAGAATAGATGATGAACGTGTTGGGGTTTAATATTTATGTATTTTATATTTCCTTTCACTTGAAATGATTTTTTTCTTAACATCCTCAGATTTACAAGCTTATCCAGACAGTCTTATCAGTAAAAAATAATGCTGGGAACAATCTCCCACAAAAGGTTCCATCTTTACACCATTACACCAGACTCATTACACCAGGTTAAGCAACTTAAGTGCAATGACTACCATACGCAAAGATGGCTAAATTTTTTGTCATTTCATAAAATGGTTGTTTTCAGAATAGATGAGCCTGTAGTGCCTTTTCTTATGCATTTGTGACAGCAGGCATTAACGCCTTCTGCTCTACCAAAAGCATTTCAATGTCTAATGGTCTAGCATACACTAAAAGTTGCATTTTGAAGTCACATTCACACTTCACTCCTCACTTGTGCTAAGTAGACAGGTAGAACATATAAGTTTTTGGGTCATTGCTTACTGGAGTATTTTTACATGTTATGTAAAAAAAAAAAAAGAAAAACAAAAAACCCAACAAACTCCCAAACCAGGATCTGGAAGTCAAATATTTCTGTCTTTTCTATGGGAACGGGAAGAGGTACTCTAGAAGAATCTTCCAAGAACACAATATGAATATTACCTGTATGCAAATGACTGTCTAGACATATGAGTGAAGGTATATACATGCATATATTAAAAAAAATCTGACTTTGTAAGATTAACAAGCAGAAAACCTTAGGTACCAGTTCTGTTCAAACAGATACCAGTCTAAAAGGAAGAAAACCTACGGCAGAGTATAAGACACTTTCAACTATATGCAAACGAAAGGACAAACCAATTTAATATTTTTATTATATTTTACTCTTTGGTTTAGTTTCAGTTCCTAATTCAAAGTAGGAGGGATCTGGCTTGAATTTCACTTAAAAATGACTTCCAAATTTGGGATTTAGCATCTTCATTAAAATCTCAAAGAAATGGAAATGCAGGAGTGTTGCGAATATCACTGCTCTTGCATTCCAAAGAAATCATGTTGACGTTATTTCTGTAGGGAAAGCAAGTGCCTCTGCAGAATCAGCCTACCTGCTGTCACAGAGCACCATGAAGCAAAGAAATCCAGGAATATTTCCTTCTTAGCTTTTACTCCCTGCCCCCCATCACTCCCCTTCAAAGCAAAGCACTCTGTAACATCATTCGCCCACTTCAGAAAAATTCATTAGAATACTTTTTAGCAAATTCCAGATCACCAGTAAAAGCAGAAGTGACAATGTCTTCTCACAACTTCGGTGTCTTTTTTCTCTTTGCTTCTGTGCACTGTTTTAGCAGGAAATACATTTTCAGAACAGTCCTGTGATTTATAATATGAGCATAATCCTAATTTTATTCATTTTACCTTGGAATTTGACATAGCTCCTGTCATAACACATATTAATATACCTTCATCAAGCTTGGAATGAACTCCATAGCTTAAAAAAAATTTTGCTTTTACAGTCAGTGTGCCAAGCATTTCTCCCATCATTTCTCAAAATGGAATGACAGGCTGTATAAAGTAAGCCTGCACAAAAGCAGGTTTTGATCTTTGGTGGAAGTAAAATGATCATAATGTTGTTCACTGCGTATAGATCTGTCCTTCAATTTACCTTTTAGTTACTGGTAGACATTTAGACTACGTTAGAAACAGTTTATGATCTGTTAGAGCAGTGCAAGAATATCTTTGGAGCAGAATAGGATCAAAAGATCAGTCTAGGATCCTTACAACCTTCCTTTCCCTGCAGCAACAGAAGGCAGAATGATCCTACCAGACACTGCCTCACAGAATTACATACGTGGCACTTACTACTAGAAACAGAAGTGAAAGCTAGAGTTTCACAAGGGAAAACGGTGAAAAGGAAATAGGACTGGGATTTTTGTCACTTGACAATTACTCTTGCAGCTGTCAGGAAGCAGGTCCTGGTTGCTAGAAGCAACAATAATAATTTATAATGCTTTCCATCCCCAGTTTTTAAAGCTTTTTACAAAGAAGGTCAGTGTCATTATCACCATTTTACAGGCAGGAAAAGCACTTATTTGTGCACGTTTCCCTTAGGATGACAAGCAGGACAGCAGTGAAGTTTGGAGCAAAATCCTGCTCTTCTCTTCACAGGCCTTGAGGTCAGCTAACCATTCAAGAGGCTTTTGTTTATGTACCTTCACTGCTTAAACTGTTGAGAAAGCTTGCTTTTAATTAGCTTTTACTGCTTCACAGATTTTAGACATCTTACAGGAACACACCTTTCCACGGGACATCATAAGTCAAAGATCCTTTCCAAATTAAGGTTTTGCTTTGGACACATGTTTCTGAGACAAGTCCAAGGTAGCTGCAAAGCAGAAGCTGAGGTGCTTCCCTGGGGTTGCTTCCTGCAGGAAAGAGAATGAAAGAGGATTTTGATTACAAGTGGAAAGTGAAAAGGAGAGACAAACCCTAAAAAGCCCTAAAAGCTACAGGAATATGGCCAGATTTGGCAAAAAAAAAAAAAAAAAAAAAAAAGCTCTAAAGGTCAGTCTTTCATTGAAAGCAGACAACAGTGGCACAAAAGGTGTGGATGGTAGAAGAATATCAGGTTGTAGTTCCCAACACCAGCTGGTCTCTTCTTCTTCAGAATTAGTTTTTGTTTCTAAGCACTCCTTCAATGACTTTCCATTTGATTTCCTGATGAGAAGTGATTTTTTGATTGCTGAAAGAAATTGCTTTTTTCCTAGTTGTTCCAGATTTGTAATTTGATGACAGATCTTCAGGAGCAAACCTGACCGGCACTTAGCAAAGATGCAGAGAGAAAACAAGACATGAAGAGGCTCTTCATTCTTATCCCTTGTGTAAGTGAAGGGCTTTGATTCAACTAATGTTCAAATTAGAATACAGGATGTACACTAGGCAGCACAGCACCATCCAAGGGGATCCAGAGTAAGAGCCAAAACGAGTAAGCAGCTTCCCCACCTGCTAACACATATGCTGCCATCTGCAACTTACTGACCAAGGGGGAAGTTTGATCTTTTCCAAAGCAATGGCAGCGTGCTTTCGTCTGTGCTATGGCTGGGTGCCTTCAGCCGTTCTGTGCTAGTGCCAAAATATTTGCTGTCACTGATGTTCGGCCAACCCTGCACTGTTTTACAGCCAGGTTTTGCACAGCACTACCAGTAAGGGCCAGATTTCACCCACTGCATATTTCTTCCAAAAACGTGATATGCTGCTGTACTTAACACCAAATTCATTGCAAAGTACTATGAGAGATCACACTGTATTTATTTTTAGAGGAAACAAGACCCTCATTTTAATTTTTCTTGATTTTATAAAAGTCCTTAAAAATTAAATGAAAATTAGTTTTCCATTACATCATTAACACAAACACACGCCTGCACAAGTTTTACATAATTTAAAAGCTTGATCTTAATAATCCTATAAAGTGAGTTTAAATAAATATTAAAGGGTTAGATAGAATTGTATATAATTTATATAATTTCTGGAAAAATCTTTGATTTTTAAATAATCTTGCAAAAAATATGAATCTATGGTATCTTACATAAAGTGAAAAAAAAGGGGGATACATTTCTACCTAGCAAATAGGGGCTTTCTTGTAAAAAAGATTTACAAATTTGTAATAGAAAGAAAGTCTGAGGAAAGCAGTAGCATCTTTTAGCCAACCATACAGGCTGCTTTAATGAAACCAGACAAGATTTTAGGCTTATAAATCCCTTCTCCTCAGGAATAACAAAGACTAGAAAAATGTCCAACGCCACTCTGCAATGTAAGCTTTTTAAGTCCAAATACCAAATTGATTTTAAATTTTTTATTAACATAAGTTCTTATTTATAAATTATAAGTTCTGAGTATTTTGGTAAGATAAGATTTGCAAGATGATTGTGCTGACATGTCCTATAGCTACATTTAGGAACATTTGCCAATCAATACCTCCTTTAACTTGCTTTTATCATATTTGCATAACTGTAGCAAATCAGTGCATGAGAAAACATTCTTCTAATATCACTTTTCAGCCAGCAAGGCCATACACTGTCTGAATTTTGTAAGATAGGACTGTCAGCACACC